CAGAAAGGATTTGGTACCACCAAATGACCTGGAAAACCACAGGATTAAAGTCACTGTGACTCTGGGCACACATCAGAATCCCAGTCTCCCTCACCTGAGCGTGCTGAGGCCAGTCCACACCACTGTATACACAGCTGAGAGAGAAGCCTTTCCCTCCATGCTCCCAGAGCTTCATCCCTCAGCCGATGACTCCATGTACTGTGAAGCTCACGTGAGCCTTTGCCCAAGGGATAACGTGGACACCAACATGTAAGGACAGGTTTGCTCAGTGCTGTTTACAGGAGAGGCCTCAGGTTTTGGCTGGTAGGGACAGGCAGAGGCCTCCTCTCAGATTTCACACAAGGATCTGACCAGAGGCAGGGCCGTGCTAAGGCAGGACACAGACTGCCCCAAGCAATGGGAAAGACAGCGCTCCACTCCCCCCTTGTCTCCTATGTGCACCCAGAGCACTTAAGAGCAAGTGGGTCTCCTCCTCCACAGACCCACTGCCCTTCATGGGTGTCACATCAACCTCCAACAGCCAAAACAAGGGTGCCACTGCACCCAGCTGTGATGGTCAAGAGCCCAGGCACTGCAATACCTGAGCCTGAGCCCCAGAGAGCACCCAGAGCCTCAAGGGAGGGTGCAGGGTGCAGCTGCAGAGCCAGCTGAGGAGGTTCCAACCCCACCCTGTCTCAGGCTGCCACCTCCCCACTCTCATCAGGTTGGCTGGTGGGGCAGTAGCTCAGCACAGCACAGACAATCTAGATCAGACGCCCCTCTCTGCTGCCAACTTTTATCTAGGGCATGATCCACAACTCCCTGAAGGAGCATTTGGCTCATGGGCATCAGCTCCTGAGGCACTGAGGGAGGGCGGAAACCTCTTAAACCAGCTCTGCCACTCCAGCAATGCTGGAACCACACCCTGAGATACAGACTGCTGACTTGACAGCAGCTGAGGCACCAGGATGGGCAGGATTTGTCCTTAGCGTGATGGCATTCACCTGCTACGCTCCCCTCAAACCATCCTGGAGTGATACAGCTCTGCTGCCCCTCATTCCTCCCCATCAGTGCTGCCACTGGAAGTGTTTGGCATCACTTCAGTGATGTTTGCTGAGGCGCTGGCACAGGGTGCCCAGAGAAGCTGTGGCTGCCCCATCCCTGGCAGTGCTCAAGGCCAGGTTGGACACAGGGGCTTGGAGCAAGCTGCTCCAGTGGAAGGGGTCCCTGCCTGTGAGAGGGGTTGGAAGTGGATGAGCTTTCAGCTCCTTTCCAACACAACCCGTTCCATGATTCTACGTGCTAATCCCAACTCATAATTCACATTCTGGCTACTTTTACTGCCCAGTAAAAGCCTGGCAAAAGTAGCCTGGAGCAGACAGAAGGCAACATTTCCTCACACTTGTGGCACCCAGGAATACTCAGTGGCTGCAGACACCAGCCCCACATCCCACTGAGAAGCCCTGCAGCAGCTCCACGAATTCACACACATCTGGACATGTCAGGGGGCTTTGTGTGTGGTGAAGGTTGGAGTAAGTGAGAAACCCCTCCTCAGCAGAGCATCACCCATCCTGTGCCAGTGAGGCAACCTCACCTACAGCACGCCAAGAGCATCTTCAGAACGTGCTGCATCAAACAGCCCCTTCACAGCAGCTTAGAGATGGACCAGTTTGCTGAAGAGCAGCACCAGGAGATTCCTCCCCTGCTGCCCCTTATTGTGCTCAATGACCTAACACAGATCTAACCTTAGCAAAAAGTTAAGCTACACACATGCAACAGTTCCTCCTCTGTCCCAGGGCACCTTGTGGAGACCTGCTGAGTACTGAGGTGGACAACACACTCTGTGAACTCACTGCTGGACAATCCTGAACCAGACAGAGCACCTGAGCACCACAGCACCAGACCAAGCAAACTTCTTCTCCCCATAGCTGCTAGTTCACAGCCAGAGCTGCTCATGTTGCTGCTCCTGCCTTGAAGAGATCCAGGCTCCTGCTCAAAATGCCAGCGTGCCCTCAGCCTCCTACTGCAGAGCTGAACAGCTTGGTGTGACATGGGCTTGATGCAACCAGTGACAGTCAGTGGAAGACTTCTAAGGCCCAGAAAGGAACCATCACATTGTTGGTGCCAGGGCTGCGCTGTCACTCAGGGCACAGGATACAACAGAGCATTTCAGCTCCGCAGTTAAGGGCCTGCAGAACACATCTACAGCTTGTAAAGCCAGCACCTCACACCAAGCCCTTACAGAGCTGAGGAGCAGAAACGTGCATGCACTTGGTAGAAAACTACTCCATGGTGCCTGCTAAGTCCCATCCTCTGCTACTCACAGTGCAGGGAGGCCCAGCTGAATCTCTGGGTGAGGAACACTGACATCCCTTGCTCTCCCTGCTCATGCAGCATCACCTGCAGGATGCCACTCCCTACCTGTGTCAGCCTCTCAGAGCTCCTTCCACAGTTCATTTCAGAGGGCTACAGGACATCCTGCCAGTGATAGCCCACATCCAAACCAACTCACCCAGGCCTTTATAATCTTGGGAGCTGTGGATGGAGAGCCTGAACTAGGAAACAAGCACAGTTAAAGCAGTGGGACCCACCTAATGTCAGTGTTATACTACACATGGATGTGTGAACCAGGCCAGGGTTCTTGTAGGAGTGTGACTACATCCAAAGCAGAGGCGACTTTCTCTTCAAAACCCAGACCTTCCACCAACACTGATAAATCCATTCAGAAAACAGACACAGATCAGCTTTTTGTTGGAGCAGAGGAAGGTAACAGTAGCACAAAACACTCAAGACTTCCCCTCTGTGAGGTGGAAACCAGTCAGTCAACAGATGCTGGTGGTGGAAGTGCCCTGACACAGCAGATCACAAACTGCTTTTGCCATCTCAGGCCTCTGGTATCATCAAACCATTGCCCATGCAATGAATTGAGCTCCTCCACCACTCTAAACCATCCTGGCCCAGGTTGTTTGGCTGGAGGGACAACTACCACACTTGGCTTTTGATTTCATTTTAAAACAGGTTTCCTCTTTTGCTGTCACCCCCGCATTGATCCCAACTCGCACACAAGAAACGCAGCAACATACTGTACGACCAGTTACCTGTTTCCCTACTTAGAACTTTTAATGTAGGCACATTAAAGCCAACTCCCAAAACCAAAGCATGTGTAGGAGTAGGATATTCAAATAAGTCTTATTCAGCTCTTTTGTCTTGCTGGGTAATTCACCTGCGATATCTCGTTCTGCAATGGTCAGAAATGAGCTAAGGGCTCCCCCCATTTCAAAGCATGTGTCTTGAAGGGAACAATCATCTTTTGGAGGTCCTTGAAGAAGGGAAAGTTATGGATACAGAAAGGGAATGGCATGAGAAGGAAGTTCCCTGGAAGAGTGAAGCAGGAGGCATGAACCAAACCTCACCTACCACACAGGGGCTGTGTCTCCTCTCAGCCACAGGCCAGCAGAGACAACACACACCTAACGTCACCAAAACCCAGGTCAGCCTCATCCTCTGCTTGCTGCCCATGTGTCTTCCCAAGCCCCTTAAGCATGTAGCTCCTTTATCCAGCTTAGTACATGCTGCTGCAGTCCAGGCCACCTACACCAGGTCAGCAACTCTTCCTGATCAGTTTTAGTTGTGATATGACAAGCTTTTTAACATTGGCATGTTCCTGGCTCCTGGTTCCTTTCATTTGCCATGCCTTTACCCAGCTATTTTGAATTATTTCTGGTCAAAGTGTAGGCAAAACTGTAGTTGAACCAAAATCTGGAGCTGGCCTTGCCTTCAGGTGAAGCCCTCCTGACTGCTGCCTATAGCAAGAGTCACTCCTCAGGCCAAACCAGCACCTCGAGCTGTGTGCCACACAGATGTGGTGGGCACAAAGGTGTCAGGAACAGGTAGAACTGCTGCTTTTGGAGGCACTGCCCAATTAAAACAGCCACTAAAGCACTTGGGGAAACATCCAAGTGATCCTGAAGGGCCCAACAAGCAGCACCAGTAAAACAGCACACCTTCTGTAAGGTCTGGACAAACCACAGCTTACAGTGTACACTCTTCTCCATAGGGGCCAGCGCTGGAATAACCATTTCTACCCTCACAAGAGGGTTTCCATCCTTAAGACACCTATAGGGTGTGTGCTGGCCACAACTCCCAGCACCCTTTCTACAGCCTGGCACCCAGCAGCAATAGGAAGTACTTGTTCTTGAGGGCAAAGCTTAATGCTGAGTACCACCACACACCCTCACACCAAATGATTCCAGAGTATTAAAGGATAAGGATTTGCCTTTGCAGGCAGCAAGGTGAGGGTGCGTGTACTCACAGAGGAACTCCATCACAGCTTCAGCTATCACTGAGCCCACACTCACCCAGGGGGGTTACAACTGCCTCAAAACAAGGCAAAAATGACCCACAGGAGACACAGCAGCTTCCCTCCTTCCACGGCATCACTGGGAATGTCCTCTCAGAGCAGCTGCTCCCAAAGTGCTCATGGTTACAGCCCAGCTTACAGCCCATGGATTTCACATTCACACATGCTCCTGACAACCCAGACAGGGCCTAACCAGGACCTGGCTTTTGGAATAGCTCCTTTCCAAAGAGAAGACCAGGAGAAGACAGGGGCACACCTGAGCTTGAAGCTGAAGCTGGTTTTCACAGCACAATCAAAGCAAGTGCAGGCCCACACAATGGTCACATACAGTATTCCAGCTTCTCTGCTTGTCACAAACACATGGAGAAAACCTGCTGTGCCAGAAACTACACCGACACTCACTCCCTACTCCTATCCCAAGCTTCTTACCCAGCCTCAGCCTCCAACCCTCTCCCAGAGCTCAGGAGCCAAGTGCCCTTCATTAGGGCAAACTGACACAGGAAAGACCCATGAAGCCAGCAAACCCCCAGCAGCTGAGCTGACACCTCTGGCCAGGCTGCAGGGATCCACCACAATGCTCGTCTGAGTTGTTTAAACCTTTTCTTTCTTCAGTTGCAACAGAACCAAGCACAGAATAGGATTGTTTAGGGCCAATACTGACCAGTCTTTGGCTGTAACGGATCCGTTCTTCCTCAGGCTCCATCTCTGACTCTTCTGAAGAGAGGGAGAAGGACACTCCAGGGCTGCTGTCTTCCTCCTCTTCCTCCTTGGAAGTAAAGGGAAAGGGTGAAGCAAGGCACACAGATATAAAACCCCTCCATCCCTCATTTCTTTGCTCACTTGGAGCCTGCTCAGGGCTAAGCGGGCACAGGGGATGAGCCCAACTCAACTCTGAACACCCCCATTCTAACTTTAGGCATGACCCAGGGTAAATGACTTTACCAGCTGTCCTGTAACACGACAGGAGCTGCAGGTCTGAGAGCAGAGAAAGGCCTCAGCTCTGCACCGCCACCAGCACAGGGGCAGCCCAGTTTGCCCCTATGGAGCAGGCAAGCTGCTGTCAAACGCTCGGCAGCAGTCAGGGAGTACAGGATGAGGCCTTGGAGAAGCAACTGCTCCAAACACCATTGCTCTCCCCTGCATATCCTGTACCTGGGAGAAGCCACACGGGTACGGAACATCTCCCATCACTCGAGCAGGGCTGCAGGTAGGGGAGCAGCTCCTCTCTTGAGAGGACCTAGACTCTCAGATCTCAAAACCTGCCACCTTGTGACACCGCACAAGAACTTGGCAAAGCCTCCCGAGGCGTCTGCTGGCACCTCAGCTTTTCTTGCCCTTTCGAAAGGAACACAAAGAACCCAAAGCCCAGGTACACTGCAACTCCTCATCCCATTCACCATGCCTACACCAGACCTGCGGGCAAGAATCTGCCTCCTGCCCCCCACCCCGTGTAGCGTTACAGAACCGCTACCCTAGCGTGGAGAGAGCTTGTTCCATCCTGCCCTTCCCGGACCCTCCGAGCACGGTTTGACAGCGGAGCCCGTAGCATCCTTCCCCATCCCTATCGCCCTTCCCACTCGGGACCGGACTTCCCAGCGCGGCTGCGGCAGTTCCCTTACGCTTCCTAACTCTTGTTTATAAACAGCCGGAGTGTGACAACACCTAACCCACCCCCCCGTCCTCCGGGCTAGGGGAGAACCAGCCCCGGCCCCGCCGAACAAAGCGGCGGCGGGGGGAGCCCTCAGGACCCCGGTCCCGGGGGAGCTGTCAGCGGGCACCCGCCCGCCCCGGGACCCGCCCGCTCCCCTCCAACTTCCCGACCCGGCCCTCCCAGGGGCCGCCAGCAAGGGGAGACCCGCCCCGGGTCGCGCCTCGGGCACCGGGGCCGTTGCCCCGGCCGGGTGGGAGGCAACCGGTACCCAGCGCCCGGCCCCTCTGCGGGGACTCGCGGAAACTTCGGGGTCGGCCGGGGGTGGCCCCGCTCCCCCCCCCTCATCCCCTCCCAGCCCCGGCCCCGGCTCACCAGGTCTCTCCTGCGCCTTTGTCCTCTTCTAGTGCCGAGACGGGGAGAAACAGAAGAGGCGGAGGAGGAACCCCCGGTCAGGCAGCGATCGCGCCCCGGGCCCGGGCCCGTGCCGCCGGCCGCGCCTCCCCGCTCCCCCCCTCCCCGGCCCCGCCGCCGCTGCCTCCCCCCGCGGCCCGCGGCTCCCGGCGCGGTGCCCGTGCGCTGACAGCCCCGCCGGCCGCCGCGGGCCGCTGCCTGCTCCCTCGGGCCCCGCTCCCCGGCCCGGCGCCGCGTCCGCCGGGCACCGCGTCCCCTCCCCGCCGCACAGCGCAGCGCACCCCGCCGCCGGGTGCCAGGCGTGCGGCGGCCTCAGCGCTGCCCCGGGCGCGCCGTGCCCCGGCACCGCCGTCCGCAGCCGCTCCCCCCCGCCTCCCCCGGCCGGGACGCGGTTCCCCTCCTCACACAGGAGCCGCCGCCGCCATTTTGAACCCGTCAGAGTCTCACATACACACTGACTCGGCCGCCGCACTGCGCAGGCGCCGCCCGCAACCTCCCCTGACCCCCCCCGCCACCGCCTCCATCCACCGCACTGCGCATGCGCCAAGATCCCCCTTGGGCGCCGGGCACCGCGCGGGCGCGCGCACGCATCGCACGGCCCCCCCTCAGCCCCCCCACCCCGCTGGGGCGGGAGCGAGCGCGCACGCGCGACCCAGCGGCTGGCCACGCCCCCCGCTGGCCACGCCCCCCCGCCCGCGCGCATGCTCTCGTCTGCGAGGCTGTGTACGTGCGGCACGCGGACACCTGTGTACGTGCAGCATAGGCACACATGCGTACATGCAAAACACATACATGCCTATGTACGTGTAACACGCTTATGTGCATGTAACATGCCTATGTACAGGCAACACCTATGTACATGTAACGCACACCTAGGTGCATGTAACACCTATGTACATGTTACACACCTATGTGCATGTAACACACCTATGTGCATGTAAGATGCCTATATACATGTAACACCTATGTACATGTAACACACACCTATGTGCATGTAACACCTATACATGTTACACACCTATGTACATGTAACGCACCTATGTGCGTGTAACATGCCTATATACAGGTAACACCTATGTACATGTAACACCTATGTACATGTAACATACACCTATGCAGATGTAACACCTATGTATATGTAACGTACACCTATGTATATGTAACATACACCTATGTAGGTGTAACACCTATGTACATGTAACACCTACCTATGTACATATAACACCTATGTACATGTAACACACCCCTATGTACACGTAACACACACCGATGTACATGTAACATGCCTATGTACATGTATCACCTATGTATATGCAACACACACCTACGTACATGTAACACGCCTATGTACATGTAACACACCTATGTACATATAACACACCTAGGTACATGTAACACACCTATGTATATGTAACACACACGTAGGTACATGAAACATGCATATGCAAGGCTATACACATGTAGTACATGCCTATATACATGCAACACACCCACATACATACATGCAACAATCACACACCTAGGTACATGCAACACACTCCTGTATACATGCAGCACACATACATGGCTATACATGCTTATACACATGTAGCATACACGCATACACTCCTATATAGATGCAGGACACATGAACCTCTATATACACGCAGAACACACACACCTATACACACGCAACACCCCCCCCCATACATTCAATGGACACACATACCCTCCATTATACATGCAACACATATACATTGTGCATGCAACACACACCTATAAACATACAGCATGTACACATATACACCTATGTGCATGCAACACATACAAGGCTATAAACATGCAATACATGTTTATATACATGTAGCATATAGACATACATTCTATATACATGTGGGACATATGCACTGCTATGTACATGCAACACCCACACATGCAACAGATGCACACACACACATCACACCTATATACATGCAAACCATATAAAATCTATACGCATGTAGTGCGTACACACTTATATACATGCAACACACACATACATGTAACATACATGCCTATGTACATGCAACACACACATTTACATACAAAATACATGATCAAATATATACATGCAACACACACCTATATGCATGCCCATATACATGCAGCCTACACATGCATACATATATGCATATGTATGCATACGCGTATATGCATACACATACGTACACTCCTGTATATACGCAACACAGCACCCATATATACATGCAACACACAGGCATATGCATCAATACATTCAACACACACACACCCCCCTATGTACACACAGCACATACACACCTATGTACACACAGAACACATACACACCTTTGTACACAGAGAACACACATACATGTCTATGTACACACAGCACACACATACACATTTATGTACACACAGAACACACACATGTCTATGTACACACAGCACACACACACCTATGTATACACAGCATGCACATATGCACATGCAGCACACACACATACACGTCTCTATGTACACACAGCACAAACATACATGCCTATGCACACGTAGCACACACACATACACGTCTATGTACACACAGCACACACACACCTAGTACACACAGCACGCACATATGTACATGCAGCATACACACATACATGTCTCTATGTACACACAGCACACACATACATGCCTATGCACATGCAGCACACACACATACATGTCTACGTACACACAGCACACACACACCTAGTACACACAGCACGCACATATGTACATGCAGCATACACACATACATGTCTCTATGTATGCACAGCACACACATACATGCCTATGCACATGCAGCACACACACACACATGTCTCTGTACACACATAGACACACCCCATCCAAACTCAGGGGTCCCATTCCCCATGGCTCTGGGGCCCCAGGGGACCCGTCTCCCCCTCACTGAGCCGGGGCTGCTCCTGCCCGCAGGGACCATGCCAGGCTGGTGTGTGTTGATCTTTAATGCCAGCCCTGCACCGCATTCACCCTGGGGCTCCCCTCCCTCACTGGCCAGCCAGCAGGAACGGGACCCTCCCAGATCAGTTCTCTGCACCCAGACCCATTGCAGGGTGACAGCGGTGGTGGCTGATGGTGCCCAGCAGCAGCCGGGAGCCGAGGTCCTGCATCACGCTGGGTCCCCATAGCCATGGTGCGGGGCTCAGCAGAGCACGCAGCCCCTCTTGGGTCTCCTCCTGCGCTGGCTGCGGCGGGCAGCACTGAGGGCAGCCCTGCAGGCCTCTGTGAAGATGCTGCTGACGTTCTCCTGGTACCTGGCCGAGCACTCCAGGTAGGACACGGCGTGGACCTGCCGGGCCATGGCCTCTCCCTGCAGGGAGCAGCAGGGTCAGACCCCCCAATCACGGCCCCAGTTCACCCACACCCTCATACTGGGGGGGGCATCCTGGGGTACCACTCGCCTGATGGTGGGACACGGGCTCCAGGCGCCCCTCCTGCAGCTTGCGCAGCACCGCATGGTCCCGACGCAGGTCGGTCTTGCAGCCCACCAGCAGCACCGGGATGCCCTTGCAGAAGTGGTTCACTTCTGGGTACCACTATGGAGAGAGGACACATGGAACCCGGGGATGGGGAGGTGCCACCTCCCCTAGGGAGGATGCGCGGGGTGGGAGAAGCCACCCTGGGGATGTGTTACCTTTGTTAGGACGTTGTTGTAGCTGCTGGGGTCAGTGACATCAAAGCAGATGAGGACAACATTGGCATCCGAGTAGGACAATGGGCGAAGGCGGTCATAATCTTCCTGTCCTGCCACGTGGAGATCATGGAATGGTTTGGGGTGGAAAGGACGTTCAAGCTCATTCAGTCCCAACAGGCAGGGACCCCTTCCATTAGAGCAGCTTGCTCCAAGCCCCTGTGTCCTTGAGCACTGCCAGGGCTGGGGCAGCCACAGCTTCTCTGGGCACCCTGTGCCAGCGCCTCAGCACCCTCACAGGGAGGAAGCTTTTATGCACCAGTCCCTTCATGGGCTGGGTCCCCCCCAGGTTAACCTCCCATCTTCCATTGTCAATGCATGGGGACACCCCTCTGAACCATGACACCCCAAATCCCATAAATACGCTGGGATCCCCTGCTGTCCTACCTGCAGTGTCCCAGAGGTGGATCTTCACAGGCTTGCCAGCAACCTGGAGGGAGGCTGTGTACTTCTCGAATACAGTGGGGACATAGACCTGGCAGGGGACAGGAAGGCCATGAGACAAATCCTGCCTGCCCACAGGCAGAAGGGACCCCCAGCAGGAGATGTGTGCATGGGACAGGGCACGAGGATATACCCAGGGTCAGGAGAGGGAAATGGGGTACGGGGAAAGAGTGGGGTCATGACCACAGGACAGACTCGTCTGCCTATCCCATGAACCCGCCCAGGGGAGGCAGAGGTGTTCATCACATCATAGAATCATGGAATGGTTGAAGGGATCTTAGCGCTCATCCAGCTCCATCCCCAACCCCTTCCACTGGAGCAGCTTGCTCCAAGCCCCTGTATCCTTGAGCACTGCCAGGGATGGGGCAGCCCCAGCTTCTCTGGGCACCCTGTGCCAGCGCCTCAGCACCCTCACAGGGAAAAGCTTCTGCCTTGTATCTAATCTGAACTTCCCCTGTTCCGGTTTGAACCCATCACCCCTTGTCCTACCGCTACAGTCCTTGACGAAGAGCCCTTCTTCATCAGCCTCATCAGCCTCCCATCAACTCCATGCTGGGCCACCCCCTGCCCCAGCACCCCCGCTCCTATGCCCTGCAAACAGCCTCACTGTGCCCATCCCGCTCCCCCTTCTCCCATGCCACCCCTCCCAGGACCCCCCCCCCCCCATGCCCGCATCCCACCCCTTTGAGCTCCGCCGGGACGCGGCATCCGGTACCTTTGGGAAGTCTCCCCTGGCGAACGCCACCAGCAGAGACGTCTTCCCGCAGCCGCCGTCCCCCACGACCACCACCTTCACCTCGGCACCGGGGGGCCCTTCCCGATGCATGGGGGCCGCCGGATCCAGCCTGGCCTCGGCGGGGACCGGGATGCGGACGGGGCGGTGCGAGGCACCCGCCCGGCCCGGGGCGCGGCCGCCACCCGCCCGTCGGCCCGCTCGGGGCGGCTCCGCGGCCGCGGTGTGCAGTGTGCGGTGTGCGGTGTGCGGTGTGCGGTGCGGGGCAACGCCGCACTCAGGCTGCTCACACACGTACGGGTGATGGAGGGGGGGGGGCTGTCCCTGGCACCCCGTTTCCCCCTCCCTGGAGGGGGTTTTATTGCCCGGAGCATCCACAGGAGGCAAAGTCCAGGGCGGAGGGAGGTGCGGGGGTGACTCAGAGCTCCCGCTGCCACCCGTTCTGCGGCGCACCCGCTGCTGACGTGATGTGCCCGGCCCTGCCCGGCCCTGCAGGTGCTTGGGGCGCTGGGGCAGTTGTGGTGTCCTCGACGTAAGGACCTGGAGCTGATGGAGTCCAGTGGAGGCCATGGAGATGCTGCGAGGGCTGGAGCAGCTCTGCTCTGGAGCCAGGCTGAGAGAGCTGGGCTGGGGCAGCCTGGACAAGAGAAGGCTCCTGAAGGGGAGACCTGAGAACAGCTCCAGTGCCTAAAGGGGCTGCAGGGAACCTGGAGAGGGGCTTGGGACAAGGGCCTGTAGGGCCAGGCCAAGGGGAATGGCTTGAACCTGCCCCAGGGGAGACTGAGCTGAGCTCTTAGGCAGAAGCTCTTCCCTGTGAGGGTGCTGAGGCGCTGGCACAGGGTGCCCAGAGAAGCTGTGGCTGCCCCATCCCTGACAGTGCTCAAGGACACAGGGGCTTGGAGCAAGCTGCCCCAGTGGAAGGGGTCCCTGCCTGTGGCAGGGGTTGGAACTGGATGAGCTTTAAGCTCCTTTCCAATACAAATCATTCCATGGTTCTATGATTCTACATGGGGTGATGCCTGGTGGTGCCCCCTCCTGCTGATTCCCCAGCCCCACTGTGGGTGCACTGGGTGCGCTCCTAACATCAATTACTAGCTTATTGAGCCACAGAAGCATCTCTCTGCCCTTACTGGAGGAGCAGAGGGCACCCAGTGCTGGGGGGTGGTGCTTTGCCCACTGGCTGTCTGTGTCCCGTGTCATCCTGTCCCATCCCCCCACCAGCAACATGGGGCACCCATCACTTCTAGGGGACACAGGGGGCAGTCAGTACTGTTCTGCAAGGCGAGATCATGCCTCCCATATCCCAGCTTGGATGTGGGGACACGGTCTTGAACATCCTTTGCCACCCCATGGCCCTGTTGGGAGTGAATGCTATAGGGGTGCCTGGAGGAACAGGGGAACTGTTCCTACCAGCACCATGGCTGGTTCTTCTCCTGCTCTCCTGCTGCCTGCCCCCCATCTCCCTTGGTGGGCCAACAGGTACCCAGGTCCAGGAGGTCCCTGTATCCCCCAGACCAGTGCGGACAAGGCTGAATCGATGCCTTGGACACCAAATTCCCACCCAGAGCTGATGCACAACAAAGATGGAGCAGAGTCAGTGGCGATTCCCATGCAGGGAAGCTGGGAGGGAAATGGAGGCAGTAATGAACAATCTCCGAAGGATGCCAGCATCGGGGCAGGGTGTGCGGAGGAGACTGGAGCACAAGGAAACAATTAGGAAGATGGCAATTACCAGCCTATAATGAGAAATGAGGTTGAATCCTAAAAGCATCCCGGTTCTTTCACGGCAAGATGTAGCCGCTGCAGCATCCATCCTCTGGGGCATTCCCCTGGAGAAAGCATTGCTTTGGGCAAAACATTTGCTTTCCCGCAAGCTCAACGGGAATTTGACAGGAGCGGAGGCTCGGTGATGCAGCCTGGGGGTGCTCCCTCACCATCTGACCCATGAGCCTGCAGGAACGCCCCAAAGAGCCGCTTTGTTCGGAGGAGAGGCGAGGAGGACGTGGAGACCCTGGTTCTCCTCATCGGAGACGACTGTGGCAAGGAGCACCAGAGGGAAGGAACTGCTTGGACACCCGGGCAGCTCAGCCTGTGGAAAGGTAGGGATGGGACCAGAGATGCTCGTGTCTCCCTGGAGCTCCCAGCCTTTCCCTGCTCCCATTCTCATCCACCCTCGGGGTACCTGGATCCCCTCCATCCTCCACAGTGATCCCCAGCCCACCGTTAGTGGGCAGCACCTCCCCAGCCCTCCTCTCACCCCCCTGTCCCCAGCCCTCCTGAGCCACCTCACTGGAACCCCTCATCCTGACACATCCCCTTAACTCCACAGCCAGGGATCACATCCCACCTCCTGCCATGGACCTGAACCAGACATTCCCACCCCCATCACCCGTGCTGGAGACTGATGGAGCAAACCCATGCAGGATAGACATCACCGATGTGGCTATGGACACTGCCACGCTGCTCATCTGCCTCTGTGGGATGGTGGGGAATGGGACTGTGCTCTGGCTCCTCGGCTTCCGCATCCGCAGGAACCCCATCACCACCTACATCCTCAACCTGGCTGTGGCCGACTTCACCTTCCTCCTCTTCATGGTCACCTCAGTCCTCCTCTACATGATGGAGAACATCTTCTGCTCCAGTGTGGTGGCTCTGGTGTACCAGAGGCCGCTTTTCCTGCTCTCGCTGTTCTCCTACAACATGGGCCTGTATCTCTTGACGGCCATCAGCATCGAGAGGTGCGCGTCCATCCTCTGCCCACTCTGGTACCGCTGCCAACGCCCTCAGCGCTTGTCAGCCCTGGTGTGTGTCCTGCTCTGGGCCCTCTCCATCGCTGTCATTGCCGCAGTGACATCTCTGTGCCTCTTGCACGAGGACGGTCACTGCCGCGTGGCTCTCATCTCCATGTACGTCCTCAACTTCCTCATCTTTGCCCCACCGATGGTTGCTTCCAACGTGATCCTCTTCATCAAGGTCCAGTGTGGCTCCCAGCAGCGCCAACCCAAGCGGCTCTACATCGTTATCTTCCTCACCGTCCTCTTCTTTCTCATCTTCGGGGTTCCCCTCAGCGTCTGGAACTTCCTGCTGCAGTTTGGCCACGCGGCCGGGCCATCCCAGGCTGTTTTCCTGCTCGCCTGCATCAACAGCAGCGTCAACCCCTTCATCTACTTCCTGGTGGGGAGCTGCCGGAGGCGCTGCTCCGTGGTGCCCCTGCAGGTCGCCTTCCGGAGGGTCTTCGAGGAGACGGGGGTCACCACGATCTCCCCCTAAAAGCCACTGTGCTCGCAGCGGCTGTGCTGAGCCCCCCTGCTTCATGCTCAGTGCTCACCCTTGCTCCTGGCTGTGCCTGCAGGCCGCCTTCCTGTAGTGCTGGGATGCAGCCCTGTCCCCAGCCCATCCCATGGTACCCCTGTACCCATCCTTATCCCATGCCCAACCCCATCCATAGGCTATCCCATGTTATGCCTGCTCTGTCCCTATTCCATCCTTGTTCCATTCTTGTTCTCATTGCCGTTCCCATTCCTATCCCATCCCTAACCCCATTCCTATTCCATTTCCATCCCTGTCCCATCTTTATTTTCATCCCATCCCCATGCCACCTCCATCCATATTCCTATTCCAGCCTCATGCCATCCCCATTCACTCCCATCCTTAACCCCATTCCTGTTCCATTTCCATCCTTGTCCCATCTTTATTTTCATTCCATCCCCATGCCACCTCCATCCATATTCCTATTTCAGCCTCATGCCATCCCCATTCCCTCCCTTCCTCACCCACATCCCACCCCTATCCTATCCCCATCATTCCCACCCCATATTCACCCACTTCTCATCCCTATCCCACCCCCATCCCCGAACCCATTCCTATCCCACCTTTATTCTCACCCCATCCCCATGACACTCCCATCCACATTCTTGTCCCAGCCTCATCCCATCCTATCCCATTCTCACATCCCTATTCCATCCCCATCCATATTCCTATCCTAAGCTCATTCCATCCCCATTCTCATCCCATCCTTGTCCACACCCCATCCCCATTCCTACCCAATCCCTACCCCCTCTCATCCCTATCCCCATTCCTATTCCATCCCCATCCCATTTCATTCCTATCCGCATTCCTCCCTATCCCCATTCCCAGCTCATCCCGGTCCCCTCCCTCCCGCTCCCGCTCCCGCCGGCCTCTGCTGCCCTCCAGCGACGGGACGGGCGCGCTCCAGCCCGGGGCGAGCGGCTCCGGGGCTCGGCGGGGCTGCGGCGGGCGCTGCCTCCGCTCCCGGCCCTGCTCCTCCCCAATAAACGCCGCTGGCTCCGTCGCCGCCTCTCGTTCCTCTGCGGGTACCGGGAGGGAGGGAGAGGAGGGGGAGCTCGGGGGGGGTAGGGGGGAACAACTCTCTTTGGGGGGTGTACCCCAGAAACAGGCGCCCCCAAACCCGATGGGGTGGAGCAGGGAAAGCAGCCCATGGGGAGGCACTGGAGTGCAGGGGATGATCCGGGGCCAGGGGGGAGCGGGAGGTGGTGGTGGTGCGAGGGGGTGCATGGAGGAATGGGATTTGAGGAGGATGGTGGGAAGGTGTGGGATGTGGGGGGATGGTGGGAAGATGTGGGGTTTGGGGAGGATGGTGGGAAGGTATGGGATGTGGGGGGATGGTGGGAAGGTGTGGGATGTGGGGGGATGGTGGGAAGGTGTGGGATTAGGGGAGGATGATGGAAAGGTGTGGGATGTGTGGGCTCTGGTGGGATGGGGAGGGGCCTGGTGGGATGTGTGTGTGGGGCTGGTGGGATGTGGGGGGGACTGATGGGAAGCTATGGGATCTGGGGACCTGGCTGGGGGTCCAGGAGGTGATGGGGTTCCCTGCTCATCAGGACAGGAGGAACCAGCCTTAAATATGACATTGGGACAGTGTGGGATGAGGCTGCACCGGGCAGGTCCGCAGTCCTCAGGGCAGCCCCAGGGTGGGCAACGTCCCTTCCTCCTGCCTCCGTGACAGCACTGGGGGAAACTGAGCCCTGGCTTGTTCCAGCTCCAGCACCATCATCATCGTTCTGCACACCCACAGCTCTCCCATCACTGTGATGGAGCCTAAGTGGAGGCAAGGCCGTGGGGAGGTAGGTGGTACCCTGTGGAGCCCATAGGGACCAACAGATGTGGCACACTGCTGCTGGAGGGTGGTGGCGGGGCTGAGGACCACAGACTACCCTTCCCTTTGCTGTCCTGATCCGAATAAGGAGGAAGGCTCCAGCCTGCCGAGGGCAGGGGAGGGAAGAATTCTGTAAGGAAGAGTCTTAGCTCACAAAATAAATATATATGTATATGTATTTGAGGAGATATTACAGTAATACAGTAATAAGACAGCCCGAGGGCACCACCGAACCCCTGCACCCCTCCTTCCCGCGCCAGCTGTGCTGCTGCAGTCCCAGCTGTGGGCAGTTGGTGTCATTTTTGCTCTGGTGATCACAAGCTGTGTGTGCACATTCCCCCCTCTCTCATCCGGCCGGCAGCAGGAGCCCGGAGGAGGCAGGATGCTGTTTGTTGGTGTCAGGCACAGAGAGGCACCGGCAGAAGGGAGGTAGGACCTCAGCAGAGCATGGTGAGGAGCATTGGTACCTCCCGTGGTGAAGGTAGGGTGGGAGATGCACTTAGGACACCAAACAGTTTCTATCCCCATCAAGTACATGGGTCAGAGTTACCCGAAGGCAATGCTCATCCCGAAAAGCAGGTGATATTCAGGTCCTCTAGGGCGTATTTGCCATGAAAGTGATGGAAGGGAGGAGGAAAGGGATGCTCCCTGCAGAGCATCCCTCCACACACTGACACTGGTGATGCCCGCCTCTTCTGCATGGCATGCTGCCGACATCTATCAGTCTGGTTGCTCTGGAAAGCCTCAGCTACAGTCCCAGTGGCCCAAAGCAGGGTGCTGGGATGGCTTCAATAGGCGGAGGCCAGCGCGTTCATCGTTGTGTCCCTGCTGAAGGCGATGTTGTCTTCTGGCTGCCCAAAGACCCTCCGGAAGGCGACCTGCAGGGGCACCACGGAGCAGCGCCTCCGGCAGCTCCCCACCAGGAAGTAGATGAAGGGGTTGACGCTGCTGTTGATGCAGGCGAGCAGGAAAACAGCCTGGGATGGCCCGGCCGCGTGGCCAAACTGCAGCAGGAAGTTCCAGACGCTGAGGGGAACCCCGAAGATGAGAAAGAAGAGGACGGTGAGGAAGATAACGATGTAGAGCCGCTTGGGTTGGCGCTGCTGGGAGCCACACTGGACCTTGATGAAGAGGATCACGTTGGAAGCAACCATCGGTGGGGCAAAGATGAGGAAGTTGAGGACGTACATGGAGATGAGAGCCACGCGGCAGTGACCGTCCTCGTGCAAGAGGCACAGAGATGTCACTGCGGCAATGACAGCGATGGAGAGGGCCCAGAGCAGGACACACACCAGGGCTGACAAGCGCTGAGGGCAGCAGGTGCTGGCGCTGAGGATGGACGCGCACCTCTCGATGCTGATGGCCATCAGGAGGTACAGGCTTGTGTTGTAGGAGAACAGCGAGAGCAGGAGAAGCGGCCTCTGGTATGTTAAGGTCTCAAAAGTGAAGCAGAAGATGTTCTCCATCATGTAGAGGAGGACTGAGGTGACCATGAAGAGGAGGAAGGTGAAGTCGGCCACGGCCAGGTTGAGGATGTAGGTGGTGATGGGGTTCCTGCGGATGCGGAAGCCCAGGAGCCAGAGCACAGCCCCATTCCCCACCATCCCACAGAGGCAGATGAGCAGCGTGGCAGTGTCCATAGCCACATCGGTGATGTCTATCCTGCATGGGTTCTCTCCATCAGTCTCCAGCACGGGTGGTGCAGTAGGTGGGGATATGGCATTCGCCTCCATGGATTGATTCTGGGCAGGAGGGAGGACGTGGTCTCTGGCTGTGGTCAGAATAGATGAAGATTTAATCAGAGAATCATGGAATCAACCAGGCTGGAAAAGACCTTTAAGATCATCAACCCCAGCCCTGCCCAGGCCACCACTAACCCATGGCACTGAGGCCTCGTCTCCACATTGTGTGAGCACTTGCAGGGCTGGTGCCTGCAGCCCTGCCCTGGGCAGCCTGTTCCAATGCCTGAGCACCCTCTGGGGCAGGAATTGTTCCTCAGCTCCATCTAACCCTGCCCTGGTGCAGCTTGAGGCCGGTTCCTCTTGTCGCAGCCCTTGTTCCTTGGGAGCAGAGCCCAGCCCCTCCTGGCTCCATCCTCCTGTCAGGCAGTTGAAGGCAGCCGTCAGGTCCCCCCAGAGACTTAAGGGGTTGGAGGAGCTGGGGCTGAACTGTGTGGTCCATCAGGAGCTCCCTGTGCTGGGGATTTATCAGTGGAGGGCACATGGGATGTGCTGGGGAGTGGAATGGTGGATATTGTACAACAGAGAGGTTCTCCCTCCCCTGTACTCAGCCCTGGTGAGACCTCACCTGGAATACTGTGTCCAGTTCTGGGCCCCTCGGTTTAAGAAGGACAGGGACCTGCTGGAGAGAGTCCAACGCAGGGCAACTGAGATGATGAAGGGAGTGGAGCATCTCCCTTATGAGGAGAGGCTGAGGGAGCTGGGTCTCTATAGTTTGGAGAAGAGGAGACTGAGGGGTGACCTTATTAGTGCATATAAATATATAAAGGGGGAGTGCCCGAGGATGGAGCCAGGCTCTTCTCAGTGGCAAACAATGAAAGGACAAGGGGCAATGGGTACAAACTGGAACACAAGAGGTTCCACTTAAACCTCTTCTCAGTGAGGGTGACAGAACACTGGACCAGGCTGCCCAGGGAGGTTGTGGGGTCTCCTTCTCTTTAGACATTCAAAACCCACCTGGACACGTTCCTGTGTAACCTTATCTAGGTGTTCCTGCTCCATAGGGGGATTGGACTGGATGATCTTTTGAGGTCCCTTCCAATCTCTACCATACTGTGATACTGTGTAACAGGAGAGGGAGATGGGAGGAAGAGGAAGGTTCAGCAGGAGATGCAGAAGGAAAGCCCAAACAGCAGGGACAGGACATGGGGAGAGCAGTGCCAGTCTCCAGGAGAGGGTGGGATGAACACAGCTTGTGGCAGTGGATGCTGGAGGAAAGGAAGGTGGGGTAGGGATGGAGGAAGATTGCACTTAACTGTTAGCTTTGGAGAAGCAGCAGGCAGGGGCTTTCCATTGGATCAACGCCGGTGTCTTGGCATCTCATGCTCCCTTTGGATCCATCCCCTGAAGCGGGTCCCCCCAGGGCAGCAGCATATAGAATAAGGTCCCCTGGTCCCCAGGAGGTGCCCCTGTTCCTGGTGTGCCCCTCAGCAGATCCCCAGCCGCAGTGGGGTCGTGGGGGAGCTGGGACTGGTTTTGTAACTGCGGCTACGTCAGAGCTGGGCTTCCTCGCTCTTATTTATCTCGGGTTTTTTCCACCACAAAGGAAGTGGCTTTTGCCAGCAGCTCCACAAGCAGGACTTTGTGAATGGCTCCTCGTTTCCTCCTGATTAGAAACACTCCCCCCCCCTGCTCCCTGCCTGTCCTCATTCCTCCTCTGCCTGTTGCAGGGCTCCCCGAGACTTCAGCATCACTGGGGGTTGTCACCCATCCAGCAGTAGAGTGTGCTGCTGGTGATGCTGGTGATGCTTTTGGTGCTGGTGATGCTGGTGATGCTTTTGGTGCTGGTGACACTGCTGATGCTGGCGGTGCTGGCAGAGCAGCTGGATGCTTCTCAGAAGCAACTCCCCTTCTGGGAAGAGCATGAGAATCATCGCCAAAGCTTCATCCGGGCCCAAGGGAACACACCTTCAAACCGGAGCCAACACTCTGTGTTTCTGACCAGTCTAATGCAGGCTCTACCAGCCCAGCGGAAGGACAACACGGAGCTTCTTTTCATCCAGGTGACAACAGTATGAACACTTATAGCCCAGATTACTGCTGTTGGAAAGCAGATTTCATGGAATCACAGACTGGTTTGTGTTGGAAGGGAGATAAAGCTCATCCAGTTCCACTAGGCACCTTCCACTAGAGCAACCTGGATGTTGTTAAACAGGGCTGAGCAGAGCATCCTTGGAGTTACTGGGCTGGATGTGTTGTCCCTTGAGCAGGTCCAAGGGGACCAGGAGCTCCATGCAGTCACTGCACAGCCTGCCAAGGGTTTATTGCTGTAGCCAATATGATTTGCATAATTAACAACCTTGCTGTGATGATTAAGAAGACAACTGTGGGCTGTAGGATGAGGCTCTTGGCTGCCTCAGCTGTGGAAGAGCTTCTCCAGAGGGATTCACTGCTCCAAGGAGCGCCCCGCATCTCCCACTCCATGGTGCCCTTGCAACTGGGAGGTGCTTCTGGGTTCTGTCCCAGCTGCCTGGCTGATACCAGCCTTTGGCTGCTCTAAAACATACGTTTCAGAGACACGTAAACATGCATCTAAAAAATCTAAAATCGAAAAAAGCATCTAAAAAATTATCTAAAACATCTAAAAAATCATCTAAAAATAATCTAAGAACCATACATCTAAAACGTTTTAGTGTCTAAAACATTTTAGTGCCTAAAACTGACTCCCAAAGACCCTGGATTTATTCCATTAGCAATTCCAGTCTCACCGTTTTTGCTAAGGGCAGAGTTGTCTCCAAGGGTTCATATCAAAACCACTTCAAATCGAAGTCCTTTCCTTCAGTAGGGCTGTGTGAGAAAAGCAGACCCTATCACCCACGTTTCATGCATGGGCAGAGCCCATCACTGAGCCACCAGGCCTGGCAATGCTGGTGGGACCTGTGGGATTCTCCCCACTCCCATCTCCTCCAGCATCCCCCATCCGATCTCTCCAGCCTCATCCCAGCTTCCTGAGCCAGGCAAACCCAACATGGTCCCCACAGCCCCCCCCACTAGCCTTTGATGGGGCTACTTCCCAGTGCAGAGTCAGAAGGGAAAGAGCATCTTTACTGCAGCACTCCTGGGCTTTGGGCCTGGGGCGGAATGGATGGGGACATCCTGAAAACAGGCGCATGCATATGTGCATCTGCATCAACAGCACCCGGAGGATTTCTGGTTGAAACCTCCCATTCATGATCACCTCTGCAAGGTTCCTGCTGTGGGGAACACCATAATAAAAGCAGAACCGTGTTTGGGCAACTTTCAGGGAGAAAAAAACACCTTAGAAGCGGGATGGTTTGGGATGCTCTCACACCGCTCATGGCTATGGATGCTGCAATGGGTCTCCCTTCCCTGGGAGGAGAGGATGGACGGTGAAGCCCATCCTGCAGCTGCAGAAGCTGGGAGGTACCACTCTGCAGGCCTGTGCCAATTCACACTCGCTGTAGATGGATGAAGAAAGCCTTCCCTCTGCCTCATGGAATTCCAGCTGACCAGAAGCTTTGGGAGCAACAGGGAAATGGAGCTGCAGTGCTGCTGCGTTGCATTTAACACAGCCCATTATCAGAGCAGGACATTTTTGGCTATTCATTATACTGCTTTAGCATAAAATAGCTCCTTTTGGGTTGATTGCAGAGGCTGAAGGAGAAGCCCCTCAGCAAGTCAGGCTCAGAGCTGACAGAGTGTATTCCCCATTGTCTCACAGTGTGTGACTATTCCCAGCCAGCCCAGCCCATTCCTTCAGTGGGGCTTCCCAGAGGATGCTGCACTGGGAATGCTGGGAGTGTGCTGAGGGGGAATTTGGAGCATGCTGGTCCAAAGGACTTGTTGGAAGAACACCTGGGACAAAGGGAGGGAGACGAGGAGATGGCAGTGGTGATTGCAGAGCTCCCTTGGCATCGCTGCTCACTGGGACACTTGGAAGCTCAGCACTAAGACACTTGCTTTAGTTAAACAGCCCTGGGTGAAAGGATTGCCCTTTGTTACCAACCATATATTGTTGTTACTGCCTGTTTTGTTCTCATTTCTTATAACTGTATTGTCAGGGTGGGTTGGGAGAAGATGTTCCTGTCGGGAAGTGAGGGCCTTCTCTTGGGCCATCCGCAGCGTGAGCCGCAGGCGGAGGAATGCTGGTTAATGAAGTTCAGTTCACACATATGTTCCTGTGGTTTGGCATTCCCTCCGTCTGGCCCTGGATATGGCAGAGATGGTAAAAGAGCAATATCCAGCTCTGCTTCCGGCCTTCTTTTAAACTCCTTCCAGTAGTTGTTTATTCCTTGGGATCGCAGTGGTCCTAAAGGGAATGTGAAGATGTTGCAAGGGCTGGAGGAGCTCTGCTCTGGAGCCAGGCTGGGAGAGCTGGGCTGGGGCAGCCTGGACAAGAGAAGGCTCCTGAAGGGGAGACCTTAGAGCAGCTCCAGTGCCTAAAAGGGCTGCAGGGAACCTGGAGAGGGGCTTGGGACAAGGGCCTGTAGGGACAGGCCAAGGGGAATGGCTTGAACCTGCCCGAGGGGAGACTGAGCTGAGCTCTTAGGCAGAAGCTCTTCCCTGTGAGGGTGCTGAGGCGCTGGCACAGGGTGCCCAGAGAAGCTGTGCCTGCCCCATCCCTGGCAGTGCTGAAGGACACAGGGGCTTGGAGCAAGCTGCTCCAGTGGAAGGGGTTGGGCTTGGAGCTGGAGGAGCTTTAAGCTCCCTTCAACCCAAACCATTCCATGATTCTATGTGGCATAGACCCAGCAGACAGGGAAGCAGGGCAGAGATCACCCAATGAGCAAAGCTCTCCTCCAAGGATTCACGCTGCATCCTTGCAGCCTCAGCACTGTGAGAGGTGAGGATGGGGCAAGGAGCAGCCAGCACCAGCGAGGGGCAGGTCCAGTGGTGTGTGTCACCCCTGGGATGCAGTGGCTGCATGCATCACTCCATCCCGCTTCCCTCTTGCCCTCCCCATGGCATGGGGTGATGGAGGCATCCACTCAGCTCTTGCAGACAGGGAAGCGACATGCAGCATCATCTCCCTGGGGCTGGTGGTGGCTTCTTTGTGACAGCAAGGTGTGGACGTTCACATGGATGGGAACTGTGACGCATCAGGGGTGTTGCTGATGGGCTCAGAAGAGGACAACGAGAAGGAAAACAAGAAAACAGCAGGTTTGCAAACAGGAAGCGTTTGAAGCAACCAGCCCATGGGTCTGCAACGCCCGTCCTGTGAGCGTGAGTCTTTGGCAATCTGCTTCCGCTGCTCTCAAGCGATGCGCAAGCCCTGGCACATCTGCATCCCTTCAGCAACCATCCCTGAGCAGAAGCTGTGGTCCCAGGGCCCATTTGGAGCTGAGGAAGAGCCGTGGTGCCAGAGCCCACACACAAACTGCTGGAGGAACCTCATCACCTTGTTCCTGGTGGCCAGATCTCACCTGGGATGGTTTTGGTGTAGCAGCTGTGGAAAGGTTTCATGTGCAAGTCTGATGCAGAGGACTGCAGCTCTGGAAACCAAACTGTGCAAGGATTCTGCCCTCTCCTGCCTGGTGAGAGGGGTCTGGGACTCACCTCCAATCCTGCCTCTGTCCTCTTCATTCTTCCCATCTGTCTCCTCAGCTGGTTTCAGCCCTTAAAGGCCAAATGGCTCCACATGCCTTTTGTTCCTCCCTCCACTCCTCTTCCACCTCTGTCTCCTGTCCCCCTGGGCCAAGCTTTTCCCTCCTATCCCTATTTTTCTTCTTCTCTTCTCTTCTCTTCTCTTCTCTTCTCTTCTCTTCTCTTCTCTTCTCTTCTCTTCTCTTCTCTTCTCTTCTCTTCTCTTCTCTTCTCTTCTCTTCTCTTCTCTTCTCCTCTCTGTTCTCCTCTCCCCTTCTCTTCTCTTCTCTTCTCTTCTCTTCTCTCCCCCCCCCCCCCCCTCTTCTCTTCTCTCTCTTCTCTCTTCTCTCTTCTCTCTTCTCTCTCTCTTCTCTTCTCTCTTCTCTTTTCTCTTTTCCCTTCCCTTCCCTTCCCTTCCCTTCCCTTCCCTTCCCTTCCCTTCCCTTCCCTTCCCTTCCCTTCCCTTCCCTTCCCTTCCCTTCCCTTCCCTTCCCTTCCCTTCCCTTCCCTTCCCTTCCCTTCCCTTCCCTTCTCCTCCTCTCCTCGCTCCTCCCTTCCCTTCCCTTCCCTTCCCTTCCCTTCCCTTCCCTTCCCTTCCCTTCCCTTCCCTTCCCTTCCCTTCCCTTCCCTTCCCTTCCCTTCCCTTCCCTTCCCTTCCCTTCCCTTCCCTTCCCTTCCCTTCCCCACTCCACTCTCCTCTCACTGCTCAGTTCTTAAGCTCTCTGGCTAGCAGATGCTGTAGCTTGTGAAGGGTTGCAGAAACCAGATGACCAGAGGACATTCCGAGTACTGGTGGCCTGAAAGCTGTTGATTGTGCCTTCATCCCTTGCCTTTCCCCAGGCGAGCACAAGAAGAGGAGCATGAACCGACATCCCAATGGCACGATCCATGACTGGCGGACGGTGTCCCCGGCGCCCACAGAGAGCCTGGTCTATGAGGATGAACACAACGGCACCCGGTGCTTTGCAGAGCACGTCCCTGAACTCATCACTGGGAGCATTACCCTGCTCATCTGCCTGTGTGGGCTGGTGGGGAACGGAGCCATCCTCTGGCTCCTTGG